CTTTAATTAATGCACTGTATCCGCTCCAAAGTAGTTAACTGTCGAAAAATTGCTGGAAATATTATGTTATTTAAAAAGCAATTCAGTTCAGCACCTTGTGAATTTTGCCGTTTTTCGCGTTTTCGTCTATTGCGCGTACGGCTTTTAAGCGCACACCTCATCCTACACATACTTCCATGTCAGTTTCTCCTTGTTTTTTTTATTTTTGGGCTAAGTGTAACTGAAATTTTTGCTCAAGTGGGAATATGAAAAACCAGCTCAAACCATCCATTCGTATAAATCCAGAAAGAATGAGAATAGTTATCGAGTGCACGGTTGGTTCCTAAAGTCCCATAGCTAGCGGAACTTTGAAGACATGAAAGGTTGGAGACATTAGATATGACCATATGAAAGCTTTACTTTGAGCAGACTCAGCATAACGGTTCGACATTGGACGGATAAAGTAAAAGCAAGTGAATACGCTACAGTCACCGTAAATTTCTGACAAACTGGAAAGTTGCTGAGATATTTGCAAAACTCTGGACCGCAGGTGTCTATGGTGGGGAACGAACGCGCTATTATCCTTTCCGGGGAGTAACGCGTTCACCACCACACCATGCGGGTCCTTTGTTTCGCACGTCTCTCAGCTATTTCTATCGATCTTTTTGCCACAGCAATCACCCGTCAGCGGGGTTGATCTGGGGAGCGCAAATCGGCATAGAACCCAGTTAAGCTATGGCTGTAGTTGAAATCACAATGTTTAACGTTTTGTTTTCTGCCTTCTATAATTTTNATGGCAGGTTATTAAGCGAAATACAACCACAACGTTGCTGAGATATTTGCAAAACTCTGGACCGCAGGTGTCTATGGTGGGGAACGAACGCGCTATTATCCTTTCCGGGGAGTAACGCGTTCACCACCACACCATGCGGGTCCTTTGTTTCGCACGTCTCTCAGCTATTTCTACAGCCATAGCTTAACTGGGTTCTATGCCGATTTGCGCTCCCCAGATCAACCCCGCTGACGGGTGATTGCTGTGGCAAAAAGATCGATAGAAATAGCTGAGAGACGTGCGAAACAAAGGACCCGCATGGTGTGGTGGTGAACGCGTTACTCCCCGGAAAGGATAATAGCGCGTTCGTTCCCCACCATAGACACCTGCGGTCCAGAGTTTTGCAAATATCTCAGCAACGTTGTGGTTGTATTTCGCTTAATAACCTGCCATGAAAATTATAGAAGGCAGAAAACAAAACGTTAAACTGGAAAGTGTTGGAAAACTGGACAAGCGAGAGCCATGTGAATTCATCGAAAAGCAGAGCGACTGACGCAGTGAAATCTGCTTTACAATTCGTTGCATAACACAAGATATCCGTTCTTCGAAAGCAGTGTGTGATGAGGCCAACACAGCTTTCCTACTACGGTTGAAAAGAGATTGTTCGTGCAATGGTTTCACAATGAGTCTCGATGCGATTTCTAAAGTCAAAGTCCTTATGGTGAAGATTCGATGCTCTGCTCCTTCCTAAACAATTACGGCAGACAACTAGTGCAAGGAAACAATGTGGTCTGTTTGCAACGCGCATCTATTACACAAAGAAACTAATTGTATTGTATAGTACGACCCGATGATACATCGCACTGGAAAAACTGCAGAAAGTTGAAGCAATTGAGGAATGGAGCTCTGTCTTATCATGTTCACCTACCGAAGCTACTACAAGCCATCACTTTTTATGCATGGCCACAGCTATATCCATGTAATAGCGTTTGCTAAACGAAGAAGCTCTCACAATGCTACATAAGAGTCGTTATCGTAAGGTATGTCTCTACAAATTTATAGATCAGGTCAATAACTAAGACACAGGACAACAACTAGCGAAATATAAAGTGACTCCAGCTGCATAACTGCTCTAAGCAATGCAGAAAAGCCTATAATATAATTTGTTGATTATTAAGGTGCCTTTGATATTTGTAAGAAAGTACTGCATTTCCTGGGTATGCTTCAGATCTCCATACATTCGCCGTCATAACGAAACTGCCACTCTTCTTCACATTCACCATCGTAAAATATCCTGAAGAATTGAGGTAAAAGACACAATAGTTCATTCTTTAAACATACTCCACATCGCAAGAGCAAGCTATTTTCGCGTAAAAAAGGTTTCACATCGAATCTATAGTTCACCACTGGGATAATAACAACAAGACACGTAGAGAGATTGGCATGTACTCAACTTGACTCCAAGAACGCTTGAGGTGAAGGTCTGTTTATCATCGGAGTATGTGGAAATGTTAGGAAAATATGTAGGAATAAAGGAAGAGGCAAGCATTTTCGATGACTATGTATAGAGCGGCATTTCTTAAATATTTAAGTGAATGCATGTAATGACACAAATGTGATGGTGACAAAATGGACGATACGCACTGAATGGAATTCACAAAGTTCTTCGTGAATAAAACATTATTTTTGGAAGTGGTGCACTATGTTGTTCTCACAGTGGTGCTGAGATATGATAAGAACTCAGAACCTCAGCTGGGCCGCGAACCCGTGACCAATCTTTCTAGGAGCTCACGTGTTATTCGTCACATCAACCGAGGTTACTGGTTTGCCTTTTTCTCACCTAGTTTTCCTTTCCAAAATACTCTGCCATAAAGAAAGATAAAGCAGTAAATAAAAGGCTAAAAACATTTTCTATGACTATGTATAGAGCGGCATTTCTTAAATATTTAAGTGAATGTATGTAATGACACAAATGTGATGGTGATAAAATGGACGATACGCACTGAATGGAATTCGGTGCGCTTTCACGTGCAGCTTCAGTTTAACTAGCTTCAGTTTCAATTCATGTTTCTTGGAACATTCCCACTGACGGGGGGGGGGCGATTTATGACACCACCGAGAAAAAAATTGACCGAAAAGAAAGGAATCAAGGGCCTTAGTTAGTTTCTGGGTAGGAAGTGAGCCTTCATAAAGAATAACCTCTGGTTTGAAACACACCTGATGTCCTTAGTTCTACTTATATCTGACGTCCTTTGTCTGCTTCCGAGCAATGGTTTAACACCTCACCGTGGCTGGGGAGTATTTTCTTTTATAGAACTTCGATATAGAGCTTGACGGTCGTCCTCTAGAGCGATCTCCCAAGTTGAGAATTTTGAAATTTTGGTTCAGAACCCCAGCGATGAGGTAGCTAGAGCTGGAAATCACTGTGACAGCAACGTAGTCACTAGGTAACGAGTGCTGACATGATGTCAGGTCCTAGCATATCCTTCAAGGCTCCATGCAGAGAAAAAATTTTTCAACTAGAAAATCCTCAGTTAAATAGAAATCGTGTGAAGAAACACACAATTCTTCATGATTAGTGAAAGCGTATCACACAAGCATTCGATCTGCTTATGTTGTTCAGTACGAAAGCTGCTTAAGCAGTTTTCTGGATCGTATCCATTTTTTCGACGATTTCTCTGGTGGTACTGTGAAGCCGGCTATTTTTTACGACAGCAACAAGTGCATTTTTTCAGGTCTAAACGACCTACACTACGAAGACAGATCAAGCCAACGGTGGTCATGACATCGGTTAGCTGGAATGCTTACCTGTCCTTTGGACATTGGATTGAAATGAAAACTCCAGAGAACATAAGCATTTTACTGCGCTAAAAAAGGAAAAGTCGCGCCTGTCCTTTGAAAATCTTCTAAGCAAAGAAAATTTCTAGAATAAAAATGTCTCATAGCAATGAACCGAAACTTTCTTGACATTGAGAACACAACTGGACTAATTCCATGAGCAGCTGAGATATTTGCAAAACTTCAGACCGCAGATGATTGTAGTGGGGAACGAACGCGCTATTACCCTTTCTGGGGGCTAACGCTTTCAGTATCACACTATGCGGCTCCCTAACTGGATTTGTTGTCGATTTAGAGTCTCCAGATCAATCCCGTTGACCCTTATGGTGTGGTGGTGAACTCGTTTATTGTGGTTGAGTCACAAATAACAACCTGCCGTGAAAAAAATTGTAATAGGCAGTAAATAGAAAGATGACATCTTTGAACAGCATTTCTCTTTCAACTGCAAATCCTCTCAGTAAACACCTGTGAATTTATATCTGTATTCATAAAAAAGGGAAAAACACAAGATTCCACTTTTTGAGAATCACAAGATCTTGGCAGCTTCGATAACAAGATCAACATGTTTTTCTTACAACTTGCACTTTTGAATACCTAACTCTTAAGCAATTCGCGGAGCAAGGTCTCATGGTCAGTTATGCTAAGAAATAGACGAAGGAAAAACAGACTAACATAAAAAACTCAGCTGGAAGAACTCTGCTGTTAAAAATCTAGTGTTAATGCTAACTAAATGCCAATTAGTACTAATCTAGTAATACAATTATTCAATTTATTCTTTCACCGATTTTTAACCAAACACGAGGTTGATTAACTCAATTTGCTAATCGGAACTGATTTCATGATTGATGTGAACTTCCTTTGTTCGAAGTTTGGCGTGCGTAGGAAGTGAAGTGAAACGGGCATGCTTACGGATTTGACGTGAAAGCGTCTGGGAACGGGTTCCCGGATACGAAGTGACCCGGTGGGTCTGATGGGCAGGGGCCGTACGCGCGCTTAAAAAGCGTTCTTGAAACATTCGAACGACGACAAGAAATCATTCACTATGTTTGTTTTCCTAATTCTAACTCCTGTCGCACAGGTGAGTCAAAATCATTCTCATGTAGTTTAATCAAGGTGCTCAAAAACAATCTTACAGTTTCAATCAACATTAGTTTTAGTAGAGCACGTTTTTGGAAAGGGCGTGGGTACTAATATACGGTACTATACTAACAGCTGTGACGGTTCACCACAGTAATGCTCACGTAAGATGAAGTTTGTGAAAAATCTTTTTTTCTCCTTTCATTAGCAGTGAACAAGTGGGACTATAGCGCTGTCTTCATAAATGAGAACTCATTTAACTTAAAAATTATGATCCCCAGAAAAAAGCTACTAGAAAATTGAAATTCTTCGGCTATCGGTTTTATCTATAGCCATGCTGTTTGTTCCTTACCAAACTACCGAGAAGTCAAATAAGCTGCGCATAGAATATGTACGTTCACATTTCTGACACATAAGATTCTTCAATTATCACGAAGCTGATCCTATGCTTGCTCTTTTTCAGGCGTTGTTCTTTGGAGGAGCGGGCAGTTCATGTTCATGTGCTACCCCTCCAGTCTGTCCTCCTCCTATTCCAGTACCATCTTGTGCTCCAGCTTCTGGTGGATCGTATGCCGTAAGCAGTGCTTTTCTGCTTATTTAGCTGTAAATATGCGATAGTCTAACGAGCGATAAAAAAATAGTGTAAAGACCACTCTCAACAATGTATGCGACAATGAGCGAGTGAGGAAGGAAATCTCCAATTTTGTGGATATGGGCTCATTTACAAGTCTAACAATTTATAGTTTTCACTAATTTAGAGCGCCCCATACAAGCCACTGTTTTCGGCATCGCAACGAATGGAGCCGGCCTACTTACGTAAGTAATGAGCATATATGGAATAGTACATCATTAACATGGTTGTCGGTGAGCAGTACACTCATGGACAATAGCTCTATACCGCGCACTGATCTAACCAAGCCCTTCAACTCTTTAGGGTCACTGAGTTACCATCAGGGTGCCAGGTTTGCTTGGAAAAGCAAAAACACTGACTTGATGAAAAAGTTAAGTGGAGAACCTGAGGCCATTTTACATGCCACACACGTATTTAAATATACTCTACGGTATTTAGTTGGGGCGAGAGCAGGTCTATCCTTGAGGGATTGAAAGATGCCAAATTCTTTATTATATATAAGCCATATTTAAACTCTAGTGACTTTTCCATTATCATATGCACTTATTGCACTTATATAACAGATTGATCAGATCCGTCACTTAAATTTTTCATGATAGTCTTGGCGTTGTCTTTAACACTTTAAGGTACCATGCAAATTTCAGTAGAACAAAATTAACAAAAACCTTGGGAGGCAATAGAAGGCGTTCAAAATTAAAAAAGGAAAAGAATGCAGTGCAATTTTATTCCCCGTTTACTGGTTGTTTCCAGTTGTTCCACCAGCTGCTCCACCAGTTCCTCTACCTCCATTTGATGGAAACATTGCTCCGGTTCAAAAAGTCGATCATTCTACCTCAGGTGGACCGGGGCCCAGCGTGAGTAACTACTATACAGCTTGTGTTCTTAAAGCAATGTGGCAGTAACTTTTTAAGAAATTGAAGTCGAATGATGCGTCTGATATGTACATGGCGCCAAGTTCTGAACCACGTGCTCGTCGTGACAGCGAAGTAGCATTCGATGCAAAATGTAACTCTGAAGCTCTCAGAGAGATAATTCTTGAGGTGAATGGATTCCCATTTCTAAGAAAATAGACTCTTATAAATGTAACTGGTTCAAAGCTACCAAAAAATTTTTCAAAATATTTTGTTACTGAGGAAGTTAGTCTATAATTCCACAAAGCTATAATCGAAATTCCATTGCTGCTTGAGGACTTTGCAAATTCAACAATTTTGCAGTGGCTAGAAATAACTCACATGTCAACGAAACCAGAACTCTTACTTTTAAAATCTTGTTTTATATGTGATGAGAAACGCTAGAGATTTACATAGGTCATGAATTTATTGACTTTCCAGCATAGAGTAAGCTTTAGCTCTAGCGATGAGTTTGGTAACTTGCAGAACATGCATGGAACAACGGCGGAATCTAAACGTCAGATCCAGGAAGTTGCCACAGAGGAACTTGGCGGGAGGTTGGTATACATATCCAGGATTATTTATTTATCAGTTGTTTTATAGTACTAGTATTTAAACATTGTGCGGATTATATCAGTTCTTTCTCTCATTAGTTGCCTCATCTGTCTCATCCACGAGAGTCTTTGGATTTGCGTGTGGGTTCAGTTGATATTTGGGGACTTGGTCTATCCCATGAATTCCGATGAATATCGATAGAAACGAGTTAGGCAGGAATAGGTCAACTACTGCATTAACGGAGTAGTTGGCGGTCTTTTTGGATTGAAGAAAGGTTTTTCTAGACAACTCTGACAGCAATTTTGCGACAACAGAAAGATGGGGAGGTTTGGATTCACTGAGAACGGTCCGAAACAGCGACCGTGGGTACCCTACTGCGCAGAACCGCTTTCCGCTATGCATTATGTTTTTCATGTAATGGCATCACTAGAACTTTGCGAAAGCAATGGTTTTTGAATTTCCTTGAAAAATAACGCTTGTGATGTTTCAGAATCGACGTAATTTGTTCGACGGGTTCTTTCTCTTATATTGTGAACACGGAGTACTACTGTGAAGCTGAATCGAATGGTTTAACCTGCTTGGCATTCCGACAGTCGTCTTGAATCAAAAGGCGCACACCCATTATGCGAACGACGGCTGGCAATTCGAAATCTAAGGGTAGTAAGATGCATCACAAGAGAAGTTTCTTTGTAATCTTCTGATGTGCCAATTATTAATAAAGTTTATTTGCTTTTCCCAGATCTCATTCAGTTAATATCGCACATCACTTTGCAATTCTGCTTGCTACGGTACTGCTTAGGTCTCATTTGGTGGGATTTTTTTCAAGATGGCTCGATATTTCGGTGAGCCAATACATCTTCGGTCAAACAGCACCCTACTTGTCAGTGTCACTACTCAAAGTAAATAGCTGCGATATAATTACAACAGAACTGTAGAAGGGGTGTGTGTAGTGGGCCAATAATGATGCAGTGAAATGCAACCATAGCTGTTTATTCAACCTCATACCTTGGGCAAACCAAGCCCTTCATCCTCCCAAAGTCGGCAAAGTAGTTCTAGATTTGTTCCAGAGGTTGCAAAAATTGATTCATCAGTAGGCCAACCTAAGTTAAGGAATAGACCAAATATTCATTTAACTACTTCTACAACTGGAGCTGAATGCATACTAGGAGCTTAACAGAACATTTTCTCCCTTCCACTTTGTGGTGGTGGAAGTCGGGCCGTGGTTTTATAATTACGATTGAAAGTCTTATAGCATATTCTCTTTGAAATCGTTTTAAAACTGAATGAGATCGGAAAGACGATCTGATTGCGCTTAAATGATCCCGTTTTCACGAAAGGCCATGATTAGATCATTGGATCCCAGAAAGTTTCTAAACGTGGAAATAAATATTGGAACAAAACCTCCATTACAACAAAACAACATTCGATACCCAAGCTCTATTGCTTTTTTATACACTGTACAGCTAGCAATGATGATGGATGATTCAACATTTGAAACAACAGTGTGAAAACATTTTTACAGTCATAGACAGCATTGGTAAAGGATAAAAAATATAAAAAGGAAAACCCTCATGGCGTTGATCTATCCCTGAGGGTTGCGCCATGCATCCTACTTCATTAAGCATCGTTTGGAGGTGATCGGATGATTATCTGGCGTTTTAAAACGACTCGTGGGTGGCTTAGCGAAGTATCGAGCCAGTGATTTTATGCTTCCAGACAAGTCTGGTACTAATTTGCCGATCCCGGGAGATGGAAGGCTTGGTGGTCCACTGGCGTAGGAATCGATTCCATGTATATTGCAGGACGCCTCCGACCATTGAGCCACATCCGCTCCCTTTTGGTAAAAGCGAAGAAAAAACTAAATTTTTTGATAAATATAAGCAAAATATGAGTCAAAAATACTAATCAATTAATATCAACAATGAATAAAAATTATTATTATTTATTATACATTTATTTTAATATCAATTTGCGAGAAAATAAAAATTTCGCGTCAAAACAACGTTCGTAAATTCCTGGAGATCAGGGCAGTATTCGACCATGTCGTTCAAATCTGGAATTGCCAAAAGAAGTCACTAGATTGATATTTCGAACAAAAGCTTTATTACTACTGACGATGTACTGATTATTCATGCAATCATGGATTACTTTGAATAAACTATTTTCCGCACAAAATCCCGCACATAACTGGACTCAGAATAAAAAGTCGATGTGAATTTGTTGTTCAAAGACGAGTGGTATGTCAGGATAGTACAGTTCGCCTGCTAAACCCAGTTGATTAGGTGAAAATTTTCGCAAGGGAACGACATTGACGAACGTCGACAAATTGGATTATCCGTTTATGTGAACAGGTTCTTCACTTCGCACCAAAGACGCAACAATCACTTGGTCGCCATGAAATCAAAAGTTTTGACGCCTATGAAAATGATAAGATAAGGAGCAGACTTCTATAATGCCGAAATATTTGCAAAACTCCAGACCGCAGGTGTCTGCAATAGGGAACGAACGCACTATTGTCCTTTTCGAGGAGTAACGGGTTCACCACCACATCATACGGGTCCTTCGTTTCGACTGTCTCTCAGTTAGTTCTACCGATCACTTGCCATCAGCAATCACCCGTCAACGGGATTGATCTGGGGAGCCCAAATCGGCATTGAACCCAGTTGAGATGAGGCTATAGTTATAATCACAATCTTAACCTTAACATTATAGAAGTTACATTTCGCAACATACCCTGCCGTTAAAAAGAAAAGGCAGTAAATAAAAAGGTTAAATAAAGAATAATAGGTAAATAAAAGGTAAATATTAATGGCTAATAGATAAAAAGAATAAAAATCAGATTCAAAGAGAAAGCTCTGATAAGGGAAATCTCAATGACGTTGGAAAGATCTATATGCATCCTGGCATCAATTTTTCGAGATGGAAATTTGCCAGAATGGAATGATGTAAAACGAGGGAAAAATATTTATTTCGAGTCAAAGACAACCATGATAAATAAGGCCACAAAAACAAATTAGATTAGCAAATCAGAGGCACGGGTTTCAACGTAATCAGAAAATCACTTGTTCATAGGGTGGCTTTATTGTGGTAGTCCTTCGTAGCATTCACAAAATTTGTTACAACTTGTGTTACGGCACGCACTGACAGCACTTCAATCTGGCTACCGGCCTTTGCTTTTGATCAAGCGAAATTGCATAAAGCTTGACTGAAGACCTGGGGCAGACGTTGGTCAATCTGAACTCGGGATTCCAAGGAACCACAATGGGTTAACCAGAAAATCTCCGAAAAAGGGTGATTGTGCTGGGCCCGCACGACCAGTGAGGATGGGCCGTTCAGGTGTCAAGTGTCAGTTGCATCATTATGGTTACATTTCCTGTAACGCCTTGCCATTAGGAAAAAAAGTATCACCTGTATCACATGTCGCCCATCATCATAAAACTGTCAGATAAGTAGGAACCATCCGAGAAGTAGAAACTGTGTTCCGGAAACTTAAAACCTGTGTCGTACCACTTCCTCGAATTAGAAGTAAGCTTGATTCTATGGCAACAAAAATACCATGGTCGAAAATAAACGCCAGCCGTAGAACATCTTTGTAGAAGGGTCTACATAGGTGTTTACTACACTATTTGACTTTGTGAACGAAAAGAAACTCACAATATTTCAGTTGATATTTATTGCCCACTCCTTTTTAATTATGTCAAATACAACTACGGTTATGCTGAAGCTATTTTCGAAACCATCTGGGTTCAACGCTTTTTCCTGCGTCCACCAGATCATTCCAGTGGACGGGTAATTGCTGATAGCATCGCAAGGGAACGGTCTCAGTTAGTACAGCGAATAACACGTAAGCTACGAAAGCACGTGATCGCTTGTTAGAAGCGCACATCAGGATGGAACTATGGTCGGATACAACCATGATCTGGAATTGACAACGCAAAACTTTTATACCGCACTATTCCATTCCACTATTTAATTCTTGTACTCTGAAAACAACTGCTTTGAGAAAACGGCCCAGGATTCTACCTTCTGACTTTGAGTTGAGACAGTAACCACGAGTAGGTGCTCGGCTCTAGCACCAGATGATAATATAACTCATTAGAGTATCATAAAACATAATATCACTGCCGATTTTCTTGAAGCAGGAGGCAACAAATATTGAGTGTACTCTCCATGAAGTTTAAGAACCCTGTCGCCCATACAAAATAGTTTGGATAATGCAGCACCAGTTGAGCAAGCAGTATCCTAACAGGGGTTCTGCCGCATAAGCCACATCCAAGTCGTACTTTGGCTCAAAAAGTCCGTCGGAAGTACAAACTGCCTCTTCCTTTAACTTCATTGATAACCCTGAAGCTGTATCACCTGTACCACCTGTAGCCACGTTGTCGCCGAATGACTTGCGTGGGTGCCAGTAAATCTTCCATTTTTCCCTGTTGCGTGCAAAAGTAGCTCAGTGGGTTCCGCCCGCTCTAAGGACTTGTCGAGCATCATAACTTTCTTCCAGGCTCTTCGTGAAGAACTCTGACCATCAGGTCGGTGGTCTTTCTGCAGTGCGTTCGACATCTCGAGGAATCCAGTCACTTATGGCTCCTGTCCATCGGTTGTCGTTCATACGCATTACGTGTCTGGCCCACCTTATCTTCGACTGTTTGGGGTACAGAGCGGCATCTTTGATTTTTGATCGTTGACGCAGGTCGGAGCTTCAGATTCCTTTTCTTGATTGTATGCAGCGGGATCCTCCTAGCATCATCTTTTCGGCAGCGCGTCCAATAACGCTGAGTGATCTTTCATCCTGCTTACGCAGCGACCAGGTTTCTGGCGCATACGTTAGGGCAGGAAGCACCGCTGAGTCGAAAAGGTGGGCACGAAGTTGGGTGTTCTTTGTTCTCTTCACTACATTCTCGATGCTCTTGAAAACTCCCCAAGCCCCTCGTTTTCTTCTGCTGAACTCTGGAGATAAGTCGTCCATTATGTTGATTTCCCGACCTAGATAGATATAACTGGGACATTCGGAGATATTCGTTCCGTTGAGCGTGAATGGGGCGTACGAAACCAATCCGTTCTTCATTAATGTCGCTTTTCTCAGATTTAGTCGAAGATCAATCTTTCTACAGGCTTTATCAAAGTCGGCAAGCATACGTTCAGCCTGACTAATGTTTGATGTTACAAGAACGATATCATCAGCAAAGCGAAGATGGTGTGATTGCTGACCATCGATTTTCACTCCCATATTATCCTATTCCAATGTACGCATGACGTTCATGAGGGTGGATGAAATAATTTTGGCGAGATGGTATCTCTTTGCCTAACCCTCTTTCGACGTCGAAGTTAATATCGTTGTAAAATAGTGATACCTTGGCTGTAAAATCTTTATGCAGTTCACGAAGAATCGCATTATAGTGAGTGGAGACTCTCTGATTGCACAGAGCATTCATCATTGCTTCTATCTCAATTGAGTCAAAAGCCTTCTGAAAATCGATGAGGTCGCGATATTTCAAAACGTCTTGTTATCGTAGGATGTGGTCAGTTTAAGTGAATGCTTTTCAAAATCCTGTTTGATCACACTGTTCTCCTTCGCTCAGTGTTCTGACAGTCCTGTTTAGGATGACTAGAGTGGAAACTTTGTACACGGCAGACAGCAATCGTTGGGGGATAGTTGCCGATATCGGGGAATGGAGGTCACAATCCCTAAACAATAGCACGGTCTTGCAGGTCTTCCACTGAGTAGGGACCTTGCATTCAGACAGGTAACGTGTGAAGAGCCGAGCCAGTATGTTTACGAGAACTGGCGGAAGGTTCTTCAGGTGTTCTGATCTCATCCTGTCCGGACCTGGTGTTCGATTTTTCACAAACGAAATAGCCGGTGGATTTCGGAAGGGAGAAGTGGGGGTGCGACATACTCATCCATTTTTATTAATAAAATGATTGGATGGGCTGGGGCTACCAACGTTCTATTCTGTTCGCAGGATTGACTTTCTGTTAACCTCGGTATTGGATTATAAATTCGTTGTTTGCTTTCTCAAAAATCACGAGGTTGCTAAACAGCATACGTTTACTTTTATACAATAAAGAACCGTAACCATGACGCCGACAGTCGTCAACCATATGCGACTCTGAGCGGCTGTTCTTCTTCGGTGGAAGACAGGTGAAAAAAGCGGCTCTGAAGAAGGCTAGTCTGCCGAAACGTCAGCTACGGTTGTATTGTATGTGTGTTATTGTATGGAAGTTCAATTCTGTGTAATCGGAGAGAAAATGTGATAGCAAAGGTTAGATAGACAAGGATATTTATCCTTTGAGAAAGTTCGCGAAAAACAATCGACAAAATGGAAACAACGAACGCCAAATGTACGTTTATACTGTAAAAATAGTCGCAACTACAAAATACACCGAATAGTTTGTAATGAATAAGTACCAATATGTGTAAACCAATCAAATTTTTTACCCGTTGTTGCAAAAAAATTTCTTTGTAGAAGGATCAGCAAAACATTAAACGTTTTTCAAGGAGCAGCGACAACCCTACAGTGATGGGGCTATCATACGTTACAAAGATGTTCTGCTCAAGAGTTCATAAACAGCGCTTCCAATTTTGTTCTGCCTTTGGTAAGAACAGTCACACGAAATAAATGAAAATAATGCGTACTTTGTTTGAAATATCTTTCATTCATTGCTTCACATGAGTAGCACCATTCCCAAAGGCTAAAAACCGGCATCAGCAAGCTGTTCGGCCAAACCAAAGTCAGGATGATCACGAACGGAATTAAGGGATATTTTCTTGTCCTCTCTTGGTGGAAGCAATTGTTTAGGCAGATGGTTTAGCATTGTATTCTCCACCACCTGAAGGATCTTCATGTATTAGTATAAAGAAAAAACTTACCGTCATCATACTTTATTAAGTTATATAAAAAGTTTTAAGCACTTTTTATGAAAAGCTGAAAAGGTTTCAATGGTTTGAAAATTGATGGTGAAAAACCGTTTACGTAGAAATTTTGTAGGTGAACTGTTCATGAGCGTCTACGTTCGAGCTCTAATTTCTTGGTCGAGTTCTCATGGAACCATTTACTAGCTTAAAAGAAGAGAGCTAGTTTGATTAGCGCCAACAAATAAACTCGAAAAGGCCATCATTGGCATTCGTATGTGTGATGTAAACAAATTGTTGAAAGAAACAAAATCTATTGTGCCAATGTAGCACTACTTTTCTTTTTTCGATGAATTGTTGACTGAATGCTCTATGTTAATGAAAAATTGATGGGTGGTCTAAGTTTAAAAGAGAAAAGCACTCTGCGAAGAAAAATATGAGACAGGGAAGATTCAGTTCTCTTCTTTACTTAAGAAGTAACTTGCTCAGTAAGCTCTTCACAGTACTGTCCATCTAGAAAACCTGGATTTTATGCTCTCTATTAAGCTTATGAGAGTTTTCATACGTTCCCCAAAGCTCACCGTGGAGAAATGTCCTGCATTACATAGTGGTGATGTGCATACACAAAGTAGAGACGGTGCCTAAAATAGAAAGAATTAGGGAGACCGGAGTTTCCTTACGCCTTGCAGTATCACCATTTGTGACGGAGGAGCTGGAGGTGAACCGAATGACCGGTAAGCCTGTGGTATTGTAGACACCTGAAGTCTTCCAATTCTAATTCCTATTCCTCTGAGTGCATAATTAAATTAATAATTTGCAATTTGAGTTCGTTCGGATAAAAGCTGCTTCAAACCCTTTACGTCTAAAATAAGAGTAACCGTTTATTAAATAGTAGATAAGTTTTTCAACCACTTCATAAGGAACGTAATTTGACTACGGAGAAACAATGGATGTTTGCCGTAAAACTTACGATATTCAAATTTTGACAAAAGCTTGCACCAGGAAATAACAAGAGGTAACGGTAGAGCGGTGAACCGGCACTAGTGCAGAACTTCCTTACTCGTACTTCGCGCCCGCTACGGAAAACCGCCATCGAGCAAGATGAAACGCCCGGAGGGCAGGTGTTTTTCTAAGAAAGAGAGTATAAAATAATGAGCAGCCACAACATAGATGATAAGTGGAACCTTATCATCGAAACATGACAGGAGTCGATATTAGATCTCATTAGTTGCCACTCTATATCTCCCTTGTTTCGAAATCCTACTTACTTGGATACTTTGACGACCCGTCTTCACTGCTTGTGCAGGCCTCGGCATAATCTTCACTGTTCAGAGTTTTGGTGGTTAAGCCATTGTTGTTCCCTGGCTCCTGAAGTCAGCCTGGCCAAAGTCTGCCCAGGTCTTCACCACTACAGATAGTCGCCGCCCTTGTGGATCAGAGCGAGATTTGCCACCATGCGACTTTGATACCAGGATGGCGGTGGATCCTGGTCTCGGCTCACTCTTAACTATACTTCTTGATGGAAACGCCGGCGTTCGTCTCAGCTTGGGAGACTCTGCTGAGGAGATGAATCCCACGATGTACATCGTAGTCCCACAACTACGATCACCTCCCAGCCACGATTAGGCGGTGAACCGTTGGGAGGCGCTTCGAAATCATCAGTGTTTATTAAGATATCGTAAAACTTGTTGTAAAGTTCCAAAGTTCAGGAGGATGAGAAAGTAATCGTGCCTTTTCCTAGCAAAGCAGAAGTTTGTAAAAGCTTAAGCCTCTAACTCATACATGACGACTCTTTGGTTTTTAAGTGGCTAATTTTTTAGCTGCGTGTAGTGTGCAGTAAGAATCTTGCCCCAAAAAAGACCTTTGCAATTTATTAAATACAGAGAACAGCTTTCCATTGAGGATGTTAGGTAAACTATCCGTGTTGGATAAGCTGTGGATTGAACACAAAAACGATGGTGAACAAACTTCGCGCAGAAGAATAAACATTTTAAAATACATGCATTGAATCCGATGCAAAATTTCCATTCGTTCAGTGTTAATTTACTTTTCTCTCATTTTTTGGATTCTACTAGCGAGTTTTCTCCATGACAACGCAGGGCTTGTCTTATCTGCGTGCCTTTTTGATTAATCTTATTTCAAGAAAGCTGCAAGGCTGTTAAAACTGTGAATCTAAAATTAACAATAACTGGTTTTTTTAAAAGGTGAATACTTGGTTTATTCTAAAAGCTAAAAAAACAACGTCTGTAAAAAGTTGGGAAATCGAGCGTAAAAGATTACTTGAGCCAAGAGATTAGTAATTGGTTACTTGGGTATGATTTTCTTTCCTTGGTTTCTCATAAGCCAGAAAGGGTACTACTACTTCATCACCACTCGCCACGTGATGACTATCTTGTTGCAAGGACAGCAATGATTCCTGGCCTGGATTAGTTTGATCTAGACATCAGGACGACACAGTGGTTGGAAACGCCACTGCGGCACCCACGTGGAGTTGATTCCCGCGCCTATGGCGCACCAAGCCTTCCATCTCTTCGGGGTCGGCCAACTGGTATCGGCAGGCCACCGCGTGTCATTGTGAAGGCCAGATATGCATTCAATCACCTCCAACGATACATAATGAAGTCATTTGCATGGCTCATCCCTCATAGATTGATCAGTGCGAGAGTTTCATCCCTTATCCTTTATCAGGATGGCAATGGGGAATATGTTTCCAGTTTGAGCTTACAAGGCTTTAGGGAAATGTAACCTTTAGCTGAACATCGTTGTTTCAACCCATGATCATACCTATCAGCGATGAGGCAGTAAACTACTGAAAGAAATTCGTTAGTGAAATTTCTAAAATTTTCGAATTTAGATATGTATTTCTTACCTGTTCCACACAATCGTGTCCTTTTCGTGAATTACAAGTGTAGCATTCAAAAGTGACGGCAAAATCCACAATCATCGCTATCGTAACCAATACAGGAGACCGTAGCATGTTCATGAATAACCCAAAAAATGTAACATAGCCGTTTTCTTCGTTTAAATACTAATAAGAAAGTTAACTTTAATGATGCTGAGATATTTGCAAAACTCTGAACAGCAGGTGTCTGTGGTGGGAAGCGAACGCGCTCTTGTCTTTTCCGGGGAGTAACGCGTTCACCACCACACTATGCGGTTCCTCCGTTTCTCCTGTCTCTCAGCTAGTTCAGCTATCTCAGTATCATTAAAGTTATATTTCACAATATATACTTTGCCGTTAAAAAAAAGTAGGCAGTAAATAGTAAGTTAAAAATAAGAAAGTTTTTAAAAAAAACGGACGTAGTCACCGAACAACTATAGGCTTAAAGGAAGTTCCACACGTAAACGCTGTGGCATAAAAAGAATGTGCTGCAAAGGCTTTCTTTAATGGTTAACTTAAACAAAAAAATTTAATTAATGTGGAAGTGGAACAAAACAACGATGAAGGAACAGATGTGAAGATCAGAAAAAGTGCTAACCTAAGGATTTTTAATTGGAGGCTTTTTAATAGCATGCAAGCAGTAGCTGAAACAGTCGCTTGCCCGGAGTGGAAAGAAAGAACTACAAGAAGTTTGCAAATGCAAGCCAACCCCGTTGATGGTTGATTGCTGATAGTAGCGTTAGGTAGAAATCTAGATGAGAGAAACGTAGAGCAAGGACCTCCGTGGCGCATTGTGTAATGCGCGAACCCTCGGAAAAGGAAGTCGTGGTTCGATCTCTCCCAGAGTCCAGGTTTAGCTAATATCTCACCATCGTTGTGGTTGTAATACACATCGAACCCTGCCGTGAAAAAATTACATTAGGCAGAGAATGAAAGGTTAAAGTTAAAAAAATTTTACAGTTTACTGTTCTTCTAAACTATGTAAATGCAGAGACCAAACAAGGGAAATGAAATCGAAGAGAAATTAGGGGTGCCAAACACTACACCCGTGCTCAACGGTTGAGCCCGTGTTGCTCCAAACAATTCCATCCTTCGAGGTTAGAAGATGTCGTCGGGATTGTATTGAAAAAAGTTAGCATCTGCGATATCTGGTTATGAAGAGCTGTGAATGCTCTAGGGAGGCTATCCAAGAGATCTAGAAAACGTTAACTTAACGTCGAACGATATTTGTGAACAAGAGAATTTCAAGTGGCACTAAAAGCCACAAGCACACCGAAGGTTATCGTAGTTGATGAAAGCTACACGATGAATCGTTTAGAAGAATCTTTAAAATTTGCACAATGAACGAAAATAGATTATTTAAATAAATAAATAATTAGATTAGTTAGATAAAATTTAGGTACAAGATTGGAAATTGAATATATTGAAGTACGCGTGGCTATAAAAAGTAGATGACGGTGAGCGAATATTCCTAGGACACCATAAAATTTATTGTAGCAGTCAAAACATTTTTAATCGAAGATCAGATTACTAGTTGTTGAGGTGGTAATAACTGGTTTTCTAGACATAAACACTTTCTACACTCTAAGAAAATACCGTGATGGCAAACGTGGCCCTCATTATAGACCTATGAAGCAAACCTGTTAGCCAAGCAACGAAGTGAAAAAGGAGACGTATGAAGGCAAACCCCACACCATCTTTAAAATGTTGTACTTTAGCGTGCAAATGTGCAACTTTCATTGAAATTGAATAAAAATTGGTTTTCACGATGTTATGAAACCAACTACAACAAACTGCCCAAATTGTTTTGAACCCGAATTCTTTTTTAGTGATTTTTTTTAACATTTGGGACAATCAGGGTCTGATAGCGCAGTAATAGTGAAGTCGGTGACTACGAAGACGATTCTGGTTGCACCCCGCCCCACGTCCACCGAGCTTCTCATCCCTCTTGGGTACGGAAGCTGGTGCTCGACTTGTTTGGAATCAGCTCATTCCCTCGTACCCAGTTGGAAAATCTGTACCACACCTATTACATGATTCCGAAAAAATTCAACTCAACGTGCAGCATTCAACAGCTTTTACATAGAAAACGAAAGCACTCAAGCACCAATCAGACTCATACGAAGAATTTAGTTGACCTTAGTGGATGATAATGACAATCAGGGGCTCTTTTTAGCGAATCAGAAGGATCAATGCGAAGCATGTTAAAGCAGATAATGTTTAAAAAATTGCAGCGGTGCAGCTTAGAATGCTAGTCCCTGAAGAGGTGAGGATCAACATGGAGCTACATTTCACCCTGCTGCTCCTTGTCTTAGGCCTCGACTCTTGCAATCATGAGATTGGCAGAAAATAGCCGTTTTAGAGACCCGGAAAGGCTCGCAAGATTTATGAACGACAACACATCGACTTGCACATTGAATGACCCGCCTTTTATTACAAAAGAGGGCAAAAAAGAATTAAGTGTTTTAGAGTGATTTCATCGAGATTAAAAATCTTAATAAAGTGGATCGACATGGAAAATTGCGCACATTTTTTCTAAGAACAAAAGATAAAACGTTCGGCATTGTTTAATTCCTAATGAGCTCTCCGAGAAATCAACCCCGTTCGTAGCATCGCAGTACTGGATTAAATGCATATTTGACCTTTACAGTGACTTGAGGAATCCTACCGATATATCACATCTGCGTATTTTTTTTTTACCCTGGATAAGAATGGTATCGGTTTGCTGGTCTCAGAGTGATGAGGAACCTTTTTGGTTTCCGCAAAGAGTGTAGTCGAACCAATGTTCATTTGTCCATTGCAAGCAACACTAACCACTAGTACATAGGCTTCGAACATCTTAAACAGCCTGATATCTCCAAATAGTAAGAGATCAAAAATGTGTGGGTTCCACCAAAAATAGCAACCAACAGTTTTTAAGGTTTACCAACCAATAAGGAGGGGCTACTGCATTCTCTGTGACCCGACACGATATAATGGATAGAAGGACAAAGACACTGACTTGACACATCAATAGGTCATCTCAAGTTATTATATGTGCGAAATATACATTCAATCATTTCTTCGATGCTCGTTGTGTAGCGCACCTCTCAAAAATTGGTCATCGTCGAACGCTTTCTCCTTTTAATTAATTTCATTTTGAGACAATGTCCTCCAGAACCAAGATTTTTTTTTCGAAATATGAACTACCTCGACCAGCAACGCATTCTTATTCGTTGTTCGAGGCACGAGTCTCTACAATAACAGTGGAAAGAGGAAAAAAGGAACAATTCGTGTCACAAAGAATTCTGGCCTTTCTTTGGAATCAGATAAATAGATAGGTATCGAACTGCTAAAAATGTATGAATTATAACGGTTTATAATGTTACGATGTTCAACGCTGAAAGAAGACTTGACACACTTTTATCAAAAACATGAGTCATATATGACTCATTTTATGGCGAGTGGAATGAATGATGATTTTTTGCGTACTTCCTATTACATTTTTTACGGCAGGGTGTTATGTGAAATGTAACCACAATGATGCTAAGATATTTGCAAAACTCCGAACCGCAGCTGTTTGTGGTGAGGATCGAACCCGTGATTACACTTACAGGCCAACGTGCCATTGGGCTAGTTTTGTACCTAACAGTGCTATGAGCAATCAACCGTTGATCTGGAGAAAGACAAATCGACATTGGAGCTAGTTAAGCTGAGGATGTAGTTGAAATCAGAATTTTAGCTTTTTATCTACTGCTTACTAAAATATTTCACGGCAAGGTATTATGGTAGTAGTATGGAAGCAGGTAATAGTGTGGGAACGCAAACAACGGTTTCGACTCCAACCGCAGATACATGCGGTTCGGAATTTTACAAATGTCTCAACATAACTGTGGTTGTGAAAACGGATGACGGATAAAGCTCTCGGCTTTGATCAAACCCTGGAGATGCGCCATGCATTCGACTTTATTATGCATCATTGGAGGTGACTAAATGCATATCTGGCCTTTACAATTACTCGCCTACAGATGTATCGAGGTAATGGCATTTTTCTCCCAGATAAGCCCGGTACCAATTTGCCGGCCCAGAAGGGTTGGAAGACTTGGTGAAGCTGTGGCGCAGAGATTGGGATTATGTCTATTGTAGGGCAGGTCCAACCACGACCCCG